TGGCCGAGCGGCGGGTGCTGTCCACGGTGCTGATGCCGGCGTGGCGGCTGGGGCTGCTCCCGGCCTCCCTGCTCCGGCTCCTGGGAGACCGAGAGGCACAGGAGGCTGCTGGACCGTCGGGACCAAGGTTCTTGCAAGCGGCAAACTCTGCGCCACACCTGCCGGAACCAAGTCGTCCCGGCGCGCAGGGCCATCAACGGCGCCTCCCTCAGCGAGTCAGCTGTTGCGCTCCGAAAAGTCTCGCAGGACCAAGGCGCGCTGGCCGATCCCGAGCCAGCCCCGGCCACCCACAGGTCTCCTCCGCACGGAACGCCCGCTCCCCTCCCCTCCTTTCCCTTCCCTTCCCTCCCCGACGCCGCGCCCGCCCTTGGAACCGAAGGGAGCTTCTGGCCAAGAGGAAAGCCCAGCTGGCAGGGGAGCAGAAGCGGGCTCCTGGCCAGTCCACCCTCCCTGCCCCGACTGCCTTCACTGCCTTCGCCTGCGGAGTCACGTCTCTCCGACACTCTTCAAGCCCCGGGAGGGGGGAAAGGGTGCGGGGGTCCCATGGGAGAGGTTTTGGACTGGAGCCGCGAGCCGCTGGGTCCCATCAGAGCCGGGGCGGAGAGGCGCGCCTCTTGCCTTCCGAGCGCGGCGGGGCTTTCTCGCCCTAGGGAGGCCGAAGGGAGGCTAACGGGTCCGCTCGCCAGTTGCAGCCAGATCAGATGTGAACCCGGAGGAGGCCGGCAAGGCATCAGCCACGTTTCGGGACTCTTTGGGACGGGAGGGGGAGGACACACAAGCAAGAACTTCCAAGAAGCGAGGGAGATAGGGCGCTGACCAGCTTTGGCAAGCCCGGGCGCTCACTGGCTGCCCACAATAACAATGCTCCCCAAGTGAGCGGGGAGGGGGGGCGGGTGGAGAGAGATGAAATTCAGCCGGCAGGCAGGCAAGCGCAGAGACTCTCTGCCAGTCTTTCTCCCCCTCCCTCTGCAGGCTGCGTGCAACTCTGAGAGTTTCTGCGATTCCAGTCCTCCGGGAGGTTTGGCAGCAATTTTTAGACCCGGCGGCACGATCCTTCGGGGGACGATCGCGGGGGTCAAAGCGCCGGCCTGTCCGACTCCCCAACTTGACTGGGCGGAGAGGGGAGGGCAGGGGGAGCAGCAGCCCCGCGAGATCCACCTTTCTCTCGGAACGATCCGTGGGTCCACCTCTTTGTTCCAGCCGTAATTTGTTAAAAAAAAATCGCTTTGGGTTGAGAAGAGGAAGGGGTGGGGAGGTGGAGAGAAGAAAGAAAGAAGGGGCTCCCCTCCGATTCTCTTCCTTTGCGAGGCGCCTGGTGCCTGGGAAGGCAGCGAGGCTCACAATTTGGGGGACCAGCCGGGGGCAGAGGAAGGAGGGGACTCCAGGCGGCTTGCGGAGGAGTAGAGTAGAAGGGGGGGTCTCCTTGTCTTGGTCTCCTTGTCTTTATACCCGCTTCCACCCGTTCTTTATCCTGCCCCTCCCTGCGAAAAATCTAACGCATGGAAAAATTTGGAACCTTGGAGGGTTAGGGTGCGGAGCTTGGCTTTCGTGGGGGGAGTGCCAGAGAGAGCCTTAGGGGGGTGTCTTCTCTTCTTACTCAAACCAGTAGAAGGGGGGGTCTCCTTGTCTTGGTCTCCTTGTCTTTATACCCGCTTCCACCCGTTCTTTATCCTGCCCCTCCCTGCGAAAAATCTAACGCATGGAAAAATTTGGAACCTTGGAGGGTTAGGGTGCGGAGCTTGGCTTTCGTGGGGGGAGTGCCAGAGAGAGCCTTAGGGGGGTGTCTTCTCTTCTTACTCAAACCCCGATGACAAAGCCCCCCCCCTCCCGTGTCCTGAAATGCTTGACATCACCGGGAAGGACGGGAGGGAGCCGTTTTCCCCCCTTGCCTTCGCCGCCTTCGTGGTCGGCGCCTGCTCTGGGGATGCCCCAGAGTTGGAGGCGGCTTTGGGCATGCACGCCTGACCCCCTCCACACACACACACACAAAGACACAAGGTGGCAATCGGGAGGGGAATGTCTCTCTCTCTCTCTCTCTCTCTCTCTATCTCACTGGCTCCTTCCCCAGGGCGCACGCAGCCGCTGGGATCCGCGCCCGGCGCAGAAGG